CGATGTGCAATGGAATCATTTTTGTGTCGAATCAACTCTCAGCTTGATTTTTGCACGTTGTGAATAGTCTCGCAATATCAAAGGAGCTTGTAAAATCAATATCAAGCATGATATTTTGTTCCAATATCACGCGTGATATTGCGAGGAAAAATATCAATTGATTTCTGATTTTGCCAACACTGCTCATAAGTATGATTTTATTTCAAATCTGTGATCTTCAAAAATTTTCAAAATCTCTAAATTTAATTATTTTTTCTCCAAATCTAGCATCACGAAGATTGTTATTAATCACAAACTTTGAAGAAAAGTTCTTATTTCAGACTCTACACAAATTTCATAACCCCATAATCTTGGGAATCTTTTTTACATTTTTTATCCATTCAGTAAATTCATTTCAGCACGTTTTTAAAAATGCGTTCAATTTCGTTTTTTGTTTAATATTAACAATCGGGAAATTTTTAAGATTTGAACTGGGAAAACCGGGAAAAAACCGGGAATTTCAAAATGAAAATTCACTGGCCATCCTGCCTATAGAAAATTTCTAGGTTAATATGGAGCAAATTGTAAGGGAATACCTAAGAGTAACATCGAGGATTTTTTTTAGATGTTTCTAAGGAAGTTTTTGAGACAATAGAAAATAAATTTTCAATCCTGATGAATGTGGGCGTCTTAGTGGAATACCTGTATAAGGAGAGAGAGAAGGATTAGTATTTTCCATTTAATTCCACTACTTTGATTGCTTATCCTTGACAGATACGCGTATTTCGTCTCAATGTGTCGAGTCGAGTATTAGTACAAGACACTGAAGAAGTCTGCACATTGTAGACGAAAATTTTTCAAGTCGATTCAAACACAGAAAGTTTATCGAGATCTCAGAAGGATAGTGAAATTCTAAGACTTTGAAGTTTTTTTTATTAGGTAACTCGTGCTTAGAAAATTTCCCTTGATTCAGGATTAAAAAAAATCTTCAAAATTAAAAGGGTTTTTTTTTTCGATTTTCAGGCCTTGAATTCACAGGCAAATATTCCGGGCATAGACAAATTTCCATAATTCTGGAACATCAAAAGCTTTGATGATTCAAAACTAATACAAACATGCGAAACGCCGTGTTTTAGAATGTTTAATATTGCGTCATTAAAATAAATCAAATGTCTGGGGTTTAATTTATTTTTAAATTTCTGGTACATTAAACATTTCTAAGGTCTTATCTGCCTTTTCAGCATAATTGCCCTATTCGTTAAAAAAAAGCGGATTAAAATGCCGTTGAAGATTTTTTCTCTTTGGGCCATTCCATAGCAAAACGATGTAGTGGTTCTCAGAATTTTGTAAAATAAAATAGTTTTGTTTTTTATTGCAAAATATTAGACCCGTAATAGTTTTTTGTTTCGAAAATTACTTGTTTCAAAACTAAAGTCACTAAAGTCACTTTTTTTTTTCGACCAATGGTGGAGTATAGAATTTGTTTTTTGGATTAATCACATCAAATCATAGCGTGATTTTGTAACAAATATGTGTTAGCAAGATTAATTAAAAATCAGCGTGTAATGTCTGATAATAAGGGTTGCGAACAGACGAGAATTTTAAGTGTCCAAATGGTGTATACGGTATCACTAATATTTCGATTTTTTGACGTAGGATTACGTCTTTCGCGGCAACATATTGGGGGTGCAATTTCAAAAAAACCAAAATCAACCGCATTACGAGAAGTGGTCAGGTTTTGACCATATATAACTCTGTCAACAGCGGATGGATTCTAATTCTAAACAAGCCAATCGATTGGAAATATTTCTACGAATCTGTCTTGACTACTTCAAACTAAGGGAACAGGATTTTTCAGTAATCAAAGAAACACATCTTAGTCCTTGTTACTTTTATGCCTTGTTGACAAGACTCGGCATTGTCAACCGAGGATGTTCTTGAAACAAGGAAAAAACGAGTTAGTTAGTCTTCATCTATGTGATTCCTAATCTTCTATTTGTTGTTCCCTAGTTTGAAGTGATTATGACTAGAGTTCTGATGCATGGTCATTGCTTGACTTTGTTTCGCCTTTGGAGATGGTTTCAACACTCCGAAGGGTATAAATAGCGGGTCCTTTCAAATAGAGTCGGATCCTTCCGATAAATGCATGAATGAGAACTGTAAAAAAATCGAATAGGGTTAACCACCCCATTTCCGGCACAACCCGCACTTAGTCTTTCTTAATCTAGCGCAGTTTAGCACCAAACGGAATGTTATTATTACTGATGGCTTCCAAATTTATTTACCTTTCCGTACGTACCGTAAGATTTGATAAAGAGAAACCAATCGTTAAGATATTCTCAAAAGTATAACACTGCTTCTTGACGCCAAACTCGGCCTACGGATTGTAAATTCGGCCCAACGCATTAAAACGCAATTGAAACGCCAATGAATTCACTTCGGCCTATCGGATGAAGATAAAAATTGATTCGGTCGGGGCGCTTTTTTTGTTTTTGGGAAAATGTTTGCAAACCTTCATATCACGCCTTCTCATTGACTTCGTTTGGTAGCTTATTAACTTAAGTATCGTACCAAACGGATAATTGACTTGTTAACTCTGAAATCATGGATTTATTTGAAGTTTTCTGCTCGATAGGCCCAAAATGGGCGATTAGGCCGAAGTAGTTCTCTACCCTACTTCATCATTTCTCAATAGTGATGGATTAATACGTCTACGACTACTAAACTAAGGACACGGGATATACTACAATAGATCAAATTACTGATCGCAGTGGTGTTAGGTCCCGAACAGAGGAAAACAATGTTCTCAAATTGGAACAACGCAGATATTGTATGAAGAAAAGTTAACAACTATAAAAATTTCGGCCTAATGGTATTCGGCTTAGAGGCGTTTGGCCTGATGACCCATCACCTTCGGTTCTATCAAGGGTTTGAAGAACTTTATACGGCTAAGAATGGACTTGAAACCATAATAAATACGAAAATGTTACATGGGAAGGTTCGTGTCTGCGAACTAATGGGTCTGTTATTTCGGGATTCACTGGGGCCTCCTTTATCTGAGTCGGTAAAGGCGAGCTATAACCACGCAAGCCCACACTGGAGGCGTCTGGTTTCGATTCCCACTCTGGTTCAGGAACTTTTTGGGTTTCCCTCTCGATTTCCCTGAACATAGAGTATGATTGTACTTGCCACACAATAATGCTTGGTACAGGCTTAGAAAGTTCTCAATTAACAACTTTGTGGCAGTGCTCAAAGAACACTAAGTTGAGGACCCCGGCGTAAATTCCCAGTAGAGCAAAAAAAAAGAACATTGCTGAATCAAGCGAAATACTCTTCAACCTGAAACAACACTCCACCTTTGAACAACGCAATCCCAACCTTGAAAAGAGATAGTATGTGCTCAACCATTCCATCGACATAAAATTGATAAGTGGCCACGAAAACCAAACAAAACACAAAACTTGCCCCCCGTCTATAGAACCCAAAATGGGGAGTATATACTTACTAACCAACTCGAGATACGAAAAAAAAAACCACTGAACCGGTTACATCTACTTTATTACCTACCGAGCCCACTAGCAATTTTCCCATATCCTTGAGCCTAGAAACGAACCCAGCGGTATCGCCGTCGTTCAAGTATGGGCCATCCTTTCCCCGTTTCGGCTGAAAGAACCATTCACTCGGATATTTACTACCATCGATTACGACAGTATTTCATATCTAAAATGATTCCCCATGCCAATAGCGGGAAAGTAACGTGTACCCGTAAACTAGAACTAGAGCGTATATTGGTTATTATTTGTTTGTGTTGGTGAAATACCAACGGAGAGCTTGCTTGCGGACTCGTAGTCAGTTTTTTTTTACTATCGCGGAATGCGGTAGATGTCTTCTTTTATTGCCTGGATAATTGATAATCATGAAACGAAATCTGAGCGAAGAGTAAACTCGGATACCGGATAAGCCACTTGTAATTTGGGTGTTCCGGGCGGCATTTCTTCACACCCTTTGGGGAATGGGTTTGGTTGGTTTTGGCGGGTGGCTGAGGGGTGTTGAGCATAATACCACCATACCTACCAGTATCGTGGCTATGCTCCGGCTTCATTTCTCTTGCACTCCCCGTGAATGTGTGTGGTGCGCCTATTATACATGTATGTAGTGTAGAGGGAACATCTTAAGTGGATTCAAAGCACTAACACAGCGCTTTCGATGAGGCGGTATCGCGAGGAATGCTCGAACGCGAGGAACTGGAACTCCGCGCTTGAGAGGATAAGAGAAATGGGACAAGTGAAGTAAAAATTAAGGAAAAAGCATATCTTTGCAAATTCGTCGAGGATTTATGATCATTCCAAAAACTGCTCAGAATCACTTTTGCTTTCAGGATTTTTCCTCAATGATTAATTTATTTATAGTGATAATTTGATTCGTGGTATCCTTTTTTTACCATATTCAGTTATTTATATGAAACCGTGAAAACTATAGTGGACACCCGAGAAAAAAACCGGTAATTTTGCTGTCTAGACTATTTGAGGCCTCGAACTGTGGATGGCTGGTGCTCCATTGAATTTTATCATTGAATGCTGCTCATTATCCTCCCCTGACAACACTCACTTTAATTTGAACCTTTCCCAACCGACCACCAGGTGGCGGCAACAGTTTTGCCCCCAAATCCCCCCAACAACACCACCTCGCCAACACATATGTAGTATGTAATTTCGCGCGGTGAAAGAGCGAATCGCAAATTCTAAGAAATCCAGCATGTGACTTTTGATGTACGAGCGCCATGCTCTTAACTAAAAACTATGTAAGCTAGTGGTACACCAACCATGCTGCTCAAGTTCCACACTCTCACCCTCAATGCCCGAGCACAACCACTACAACGGGACGACACAATCCTTCCTCCGCTGAGTGTGTTGTCTGGTGCTAGTAGTGCTACTATATGGACCCATCATCGTCGGTCGCGGTCGCCCGGAGTCCATCATCGTGGCAAGCGAGCGAGCGAAAAAAAAACCACCACACATTGCTGCTCCTCGCGCTTTGTCCGTTTCAGTATCAACGCAGACACGCGAAGAAGTGGAAGTACGCGGTCCGTCGTCGTGCGCGCTTCATCGTGTGGTGTAAATTCCCCGCAAACCCGTCGTCTCCTAAAGTACCGAACGAAAATTCGCGAATTATTTTGTCTTGTTAACTTTGTTTTACCATCGAAGAGAGGTGTGTTTCATCTTCTTCTTCTTCTTCTTGTTGTTACTTATTGTTGATCGTTGTTGGTGCTACTTTTATTATTGTTGTTGCTTTAGAGGTGAAAAAAATTGCACTAGTACACAGAAGTGCGAGTCAATTTCGTGTTTCGAAGAGTTTACGGCGCCGGGGTGCTGCTCGTTGGTGTGTTCTACACGCGCCCCCTCCGAGAAAGAAGAAATCAGTCAAGTCGGCCGTCGAAATAAGCGAAAAATTAAGTGAGTTTCGCTTCGTGCCTTTTTCCTGCTTCTTCTGCTCGAGTGAGAGCCAAATTCCTGCTACTGCAGTGTGACGACGAAGTCGACTTGAGCGCTTAGTCGTCGTCATTATTCACATTTTACCCCACGAAGTTGTGGCGCTGCGCCACATAGTCGTTTCCCGCAGAATAATAAAAAAAAAAGGTGGAGAGGAAATCGTTATCCGATTTGATAAAAGAAAAAGAAGAAAAAGTGGCAAAAGTAGAAGAAACGTCAGATGCCAAAAATTGTTGTTTAGTGTTTATTGATTGCATATTTTGGGCTCGTTAAGGGTGTGTGTATGTGTGTGCAATATTTAGAGCAATAATTGTTGACAGAGCAGCGGCATTTGAGCAATCCACAAGGCGAAAGCGAAAGCGAAGTGCAAGTTGTGTCATCCGCACACGAGGCGTCGACATAGTTTCAGTTTTGAATTCTGTGTTCATCGAGGAATCCCATCGTCGCCGTCACCGTCACCTAAATTGGATCGTCGTCGTTGACTCGGCGCTCAGCAAACGGTCAAAGTACGGAAAAGTATATTTTTGGACACGAACCGTCGTCGTCTGTTGCTGCAGCAGCCACAGTAGTCACCGTGTAGGATGCATGTGGCTATCATCACCCCGAATGCGTTCGAGCACGTACGCAACACGTAGTCGTCGTTGGCCGTGTTCTTCAGTCCGTCCGGGAACCATGATGCGCGCCAATCTTCTTTGAAACCTTCAAGCCCTTCGACGATGCACACAGAGGAAGAGAGAGAGAGATAGAGTGAGAGCAGAGTGCGTCTTTAGTTTTTCGGAGTGCGTGGGGAACCGGTTTGGGGTGCGTGCAGCAGGATAGGTGCAGAGAGGAACGTTGGAAAATGCACAGCGTCGTGCACACAGTGGGTGTGTGCACTGCGGGATTAGGGAGGGATTTAATGGTCGAATTTGAAATTTTTATGACGTTTCTTGACATTGATAAGCGGTAACGATAAGATTTGGGTGAAACACGAAGCGGTCAGTCTGTTATCTTTCAATAATTTCACATAACCGTAATTCCAAATCATTCTCATTCATTTTTAAGATGGATGTTTAGAGGGGTAATAAGATCTCTGAAAATGCGCATGGTTTTCTTAGAACGTGTTTTTAACGCAAATTGGATCATTACTGTACAACCAACTTTATCTTCCTCGTTAATTACTTTTACTCTTTAAACATAATAATTCTGGAGTGGATTTATCTCCAGTAACAACACAAATTGTTTTTTAAGGTTCTGGAACATGAATAATTTCTACAGATTTCAAACTTACGACTATTTCTTTAAATCTTGAACGTAATGAAATTAAACATGGAGAAATTTTTAAGAATCTGGAACGAAAATAAATATCCAAGACTACGGACATACAATAAATTCCAAGATCCCAGATCACATATAAATTAAGTACTTTACAAAAGTTTCAATTTTATGAACTTTAATCAATAAATTTGATGAAAACTCCCAAGGATCTCTAAGAATAATTTCAAGAAAATTCATAGGAAAATATCAATGGATGAATTTTCAGGAAATTTAAATCTGAGTGTTCCTTTCAAATTAGTTCTGAGGAACTCCAGACTCCAGGTAAAACGTAAGGAGGATTCCAAGGCAGTTCTTAGTAGAATTCCACGGGAATCCTGAGTAGGATTCAAAGTAAATTGTCATGAAAATTCTGTGGAACATTTCAAGGAAATTAAAAAGTGAATTTATATAGAGTACTGACTAAAATTGTAAAGTAATTTTGAGGAGACTTTTCTAAAAAAATTGTAAGGAGGATTGGAAGTTGATTCTAAGGAGAATTCCAAGATATTTGTAAGTAGAATTCCATTGCCCCGTAACGTGGGTAGCTCACATTTTCGTGGTACGTTGCGGGATGTAAGATCCACCACCGATTCCTAGTTACTTTGTATGCCTTGTTAATAGTGATAAGTCCTCGGGTTGCCTGGACCGATGATGATCTTGTAACAAGGAACAAATGAATTGATTAGTCTTCATCTATGTGATTCCTAATCGTTTATCCGTTGTTCCCTAGTTTGAAGTGGTTAAGACTAGGGTTCTGATGCATCTCATGGTTGTTAAGGAATCCAATTTTGGCTGACAAAGGGGCGCGCCTTTGGAGGGTGTTCCAACACTCGGAAGGGTATAAATAGCGGGGGCTTTCAATTAGAATCGATTCCTTACGATGAAAGCAAAAATGACAACTGTATCAAAACTGAATGCTTCATCATTTCTCAATAATGATGAAATAATACGACATGCACTAAACTAAGGACATGGGATATACTACATGGATCGATGTACTGCGACGGTTTTATGTTTCCGAACAGAGGAAGAATTCCAAGTAAAGAAGGATAATACAAAGGGAATTCTGAAAAGAATTCAATGAAAATTATGGGGTTACTTCTAAAAGCACTCTTGGGAGTATTTCTAAGAAGTTTTGATGAGAGTTTCAATGAAATTTCCAATGAAGTTTTGAGCTAAATTTCAAAGGAATAATATGGAAAGTTTCAATTTTGTTCATGTAATCATCTTTAGAGAACTAAAAAAAAAGTCCCTAGGGAAATTCTGAGGACAATTTAAAGGAATTCATGGAACCACTCAGATAATTCAGAGTAGAATATAGAGGGAATTGCGAAGATTATTCCATGGGAATTTTAGAACAATACTTTGTGCAAACTGAGGAGAGATATTTTCAGGAGAATTCTTTGGAGAGAATTGTTCAGAATTTATTGGGAATTGCAGGGTGAATCAAAGAGCGTTCTATAGAGCATTTCTAGAGTATTATCGAATCAATTGTAAGGCGTTTTTTTCCTTTATTAACGAGACTTTCAGCCTTAGGCTGGTTCATCTCTACTTGTAGGCATTGCTTAAGAGGAACTCCGGAATGAAATTTTGATTTGTTTCTAAGAAGATTTTTTAGACAATAAAAAAAATCCAGTATTAAGTGACTCAAACACAGAAAGTTTATCGAGATCTCAGAAGGAAAACAAAATTGCGGGACTAAGAAGTTTAATATCTCATGCTTAGAAAAGTTCTCTTGATTCTGTATTAAGAAAAATCTTTAAGATTAGGAGTTTTTTTTTAGTTTCAGGACTTACTTATAAAATGTGAGTTCTCACACCAATATTCCGGGCATTGAACAATTTCCTAGATTGTGGAACGTAAGATGCTCTGAGAGCATAACTGGATCTTATATTTTGTTAAGAATTGTATAAGGGTATGCCAATGTGATGTTGAATAATGATTCAGCACCCTATTTCGGGGTATCAGAATTTATCATTTACCTAATTGATTCACTTTTAATACTAAATTTTAATCAGAATAAATCCAAACCATAAAATCAAACTTCAACATAATACAAAATGGCTGGTTGATTTGAAAACATGCTTTCTGAATTTTGCCCAGTTAAAACTTAGCCATCCCACAGTTCATCCAAAGTGCACACATGCGGGACGCCCGATCGCTTACGAACTATAAAACCATTCGAAGCCACGGGACAGAGAAGAAAACGAAATAAAATAATCCATTCCCGATGAACGACGCCCGGCCGTCCGACCGGCTTGTCGATTAAATGTCAATGGAAAATTTTGGTACACCGCCGCGATCTTCCTGGGGTACGTCGTACCACTACAACGAAAGAGGACCCGACCTTAGAGTACGGTGCAAGTCGCTGCTGCTGGTGATAAGCGAAAGTGATTATCGACGATATTCCTTTCGTTCACGCCCATCCGTCGTCACTTCGGATGCGTGTCGATCCAATTGTCTGTGCCCCCATAGTGCGGTTTTGTGCGGTTTATTTCATGACGACACGCTCTGTCGATCGGCTCTCTGTGACGGTAACTCACCACTTTCGGTCGTTTGTGCTTTAATTGCTTTGGTTTTGTTTTGCGCCAACCTTCCTGTGCACGTATACAAATGTACATGTGCAGTAGATGAAGACGAAGGAAAACAGCAGAACGATGTAAATAAATGAGTAGGGGAAATTTGCCTGAATGACGTAAACCGAAGAGCCGCGTCGCTGCCACCCACTGACCGCCCGATGAATCGAAATTTGATGAGTAACGGTAGCTTATCCGCTTTATATAGAATGATTCAATCGATGGGCATTTTCTGCCTACCTGTGTTGTTGTTTTTCAACTGGTTACCTATTATATATGCGGAGACAGGTGACACGACTAACCTTGTAAGCTGGTGCCAAATTGCGCAAACCTTGTCCTCCTGTCCCGTCTATGGAGAGATTAATCAGGACAAGTTCTACAAGCTTTTAACGATTTTTTTTTTGCCCCAAGTACAAAACAAGTCGAAACAAGTTCCAAATTGTCCACTGCTACTCGGTGAGTCGATAGCTCACTCAAACTAGCGCGCCCCGCAAGCGCTAGTGTGTTGGTGTTGAGATCGAGAAATTTTTGGGCTGATGAAATTCCATGGGGTTTGTAAGCAATAGCGATCTCGATCTCGTCATGCTTCATAATTCAGTACGGAGCAGAGCTGGTAAATGGCATAAAAATTGTATGGGGGGAAAAATGTCACGACATTTTCCCCCTATACGTTTTCATAGTGACAGCCACCTCTGACGGAGTCAGTAACTGTTGCCATCTATCAAAGCTAAGATTTTCTCACCTCACTAATTGGAATCCTTAGAACGTCAGCGGAATCAGCAGCGATGGTGGTGCAGGAAGTCGCCGTCGTCCGGCCGGTATTAGCCGGTCGGTTTACCATGTGCATCGCACGTGTTGGCTCAGTCTTGTCACGTCGTGCACTGCCACCGCCACCGCCGCCGGTGTTCGACCTCCGCCAATTTCAAGATCTCCACTCTTCTTGCGTTGGAATTTAGCTGTCCGTGTTTCGCGTGGCTACTCGCTAGTTGCGTTCGATTTGAAACGGAGTTCACCCACCAACCGCCAACGTTCGCGGAAGATCAATCACAACGATTTCCTGTTGTCTGAATGTGGGGGTCTATGCGAGCCACCTAGGTAGACCTGCTCGTTGGAGCTGCCTCGCGTTCCATTGAATTGGCTGCCTGGGTCTAAAAATAGATTCGCAAAGTGAAAGAAGTAAATTGTGGAGACACTCATTAGACACGATTCGACTCGGTTTCTTCAAATGGTCCGCAAATGTACACATATATACTACTTCAACTTCTTCTTCGATGGATTTGAACGGAGTCGATTGCAAAGTGAACACAGACACACACACACACACACATACAATGGGCAGAATTGGACGGGCGAATGAACCAAACGATCAAACGAAACAGGAGTCTCGAGTTGCACCAGCCAGGGCACAGCCAGCCAGAGTGCGATAAATGCTCTTTGTTTTTATTGCTTGTTGACATACGTGTGTCGGTCGGATGGCCAACCATCATAAAGCGGTCGATCTCAAATTGTGGTGATGGATTGTGCCCCGGTCGGTGAAAAGAAGCGTCAACGAGAGGTACCAACGACTCGGCAGAGCAAAAGTGGATGCAATGACCGATAAAACTGTTGGCAGGGATGAAATGGACTATGGTGGC